GGGAAAGAGCCTAAGAAGAAACATGGGACTCCAAACTCTGTTTCTTTATGCAAAATTGCCCAAGTGATCACTGAATGACAAGACTGATATCTATTAGTCCAGGCGACACACCAACCTCTCTGTTCAAGCTGTCTTTAGCCTCAATGCTTCTGCCCAACCCTCCAATATTTTACATCAGCCCCAACTTCAGATATAAACCACATAATCAACAGGAACCATAAATCCTGCTTCAAAAGCCATATAACAGCCAAAGCTAAATCTCCCACTAACATCAGCTGGTTGGGTTAACTCCGTCACTACAAGGGGTGAGGCTGGATTTAAGCAGATGTGCAAACAGGAGGTCTGCCTTCATCTTCATCCCATTCACCATTCCTATAGCTTTCCTCCCAGCCTTATCTAGTTGCTTCTCCTGGCTCAGCAAAGGCACAGGAGGGGGAGGTTGATCCCTCTGTGCTGAGCTGCCAGCACCAGCCACATCCCCAAGGACTCAGTATTTCATGCTTAATCCGTAAAACAAAGGCTTACGTGGATTTTAAGGATAAGGCTCCATGTATCACTGTGCGAACAGCGATTACAATGCACAGTCCTAGGTGCTGTGTGAAACCTCTGACAGATTATTCGTAAGTTATTCTGTAAACAGCAAATGGTTTCTGTGCTATTTAACCAGTTGTACCAGTTCCATGGCAGAACTGCCAAGCAGTTTCAAAACCTCTGCAGATTAAGCCTCCCTCACAGCTCACTGACTGTGCTCTGTTCTATGGGAAAAAACACAACATGAGGATAACCCCATCCCTGTAGGTAACTAGGAGCTGTTGCAACTGCTAGATCTGCTAACCTGATGCCTGAAGATCCATGTGCTCCTCCTTTCTCCTTTCTGGTTCTGGGTACTGATGCCTAAAATACTTCATGAAATTATAGGCTGACTGGGTGAACCTTTCAAAAGCTGTCATGCTGCAAACAGAAATGTGCCACTGACTTGGAAACTGGATCTGGCTTCACACAGCCAACTATTCTCTGCTCACAAAGAGACATCATTAGTAATTATGTAAATATTCATAACATCTGCTCAGGCTGTTAGGATAACTGAGATAACTTTTGTTATTGGACATCTAAAGTACAGATTGAGGGAAAAGTTATACCGTTCTCCTTATTCGATACAGGTTCCTCGCCAATATTTCCTGTATGTTATCCAGGACAGGCGGATTCAAAGTATCCTCCAATTTTTTGTCTGTTATGACAGTCCTGTCATTGTTGCTGCAAAGAAAACCAAAATGCCTTATTTCAGAAGATGCGCTGCAGCACAATCAGTGCATCCCCAAAGCCCAGTGCTCATGGCAGCCCTTTCAGATTCCACCACCAGTGAACATGAGCAACAGCTAATTCTTGCAGATGGAGCTCACTGCAGATGGGGCATTTGGCATTTGCGTCAGAGCTGTCTCATCCATGTGCTCCCTGGTAGATAGAATAGCTGTGGGGAGCTGTGGCAGAGCAGAACCCTCTGTAAGGGATGAGATGGCCATTCTGACACACAAATTTTTGACCCTTTCATCTCAGCCAATGCTCATTCTCACTGTTGTTTCATTTGGTACACACAGTGGTGCAAAGCCATCCAAAAAATGGTGTAAGAGCACCATTTCTGTGTAACTCTGAGGGGGGATACAGGTGAGCCTCCATATATGAGATCAGAAACTGTGTTCATCTACGCCAGTACATTGCTCATCCTCCTGATCATTTTTAATACCCACTTACTAATCTTTAAATCATGTTTACTTCACATTTGGCCAAGCTATGTTGTTCCTCCCCATGGGACACCCCAGCAGGGAAGAGCAGTGGAGGTTGAGAAGTTTGCAAAAGCTTTTCATAACTGTTCCCTCTGGTTGGAATGAGCGATGGAAAGGGCACAGCTGCAGGGGAGGGACCACTTACAGCAAGGATGGGTGAGACAGGCCATGCCCCAGCTGCCCTGCTTCTGCCAGCTCGATGGCATGTTTCCGCTCCAGCTTTTCATAAAGCAGCACAATACTTGATTTTGGCTGGTCATATTCTCGAAGCAGGATCTTCTGCAGGTATTTGCTGTTAAAATATTCTAATCTATTTGAGAACAAAACAAGATGGGCTTAGGCCTCCTCCCACAACTCCCCAGTACCAAAAGCAAGCCAGCAGGTTCATAGCCCATGACCACTCCATATTCCATTATATTCCATTACCTTCTTTCCAGAAATCAACAGTCCAAGAGGTCAGTTCCTATTTATTTCTGCACTACAGTACGTGACCTAAGATACTAAAACTTTGCCAAATACAATAAAAGCTATTCAAAGTGCCAGATTTAACATGAACTCTACTATAAGTGCTACAAAGCACATGCAGTAACCCCAAGGGATGCAACAGATTTAAACACTTCCAGATCCCCTCTTGAGCCATTTCCTCTCGCTTTCTGCTCAAATGCAGCACATTTGGAAAAGATCTAGCCGGTATCAAATACTGACACTCAAGTCTGGCAGTTCTTGGCTGCTCACAAACCTGCTCGAAGGGAGCCAGCAGCGATTCCCATACCCTCTAGTGGCACTTCCAAGCACTGGCATTCCTAAGAAAATCCCTGCCAGCTGCATTAACCAGAGTCCTTACCATGAAGATAGCTGTGTTTGTGTCTGCACAGTCAAGGAAATAAACGTGGTAGATTGCTATTAGTATATTTTAGGTCGTTTGTATTTAAAAAATAAAACTAATCTCCTATGTGTACAATCTACCAAAGTTTAATGAAAATTGAGCACTTTGCAACAGAGATCTGCAGAGATCTGCTATAATTTGTCAGTCCACAACAACCACTTGTGCCTCATACTTTTAGCTTTTAACTGTGCACACACTAGGTTGGAGTCCTCAGCTCCTGCATGGCCAGAAAGGCAGGAGAGCACAGGCAGTACCGCTGCAGGCACGGACAGGCTGAAGCTACGTGGGCTGTGTGTTGTGCCGGCCTGGCCCTTTCATTTCCAGCAGGTATCTTTGGACAAACAGGAACAAACACAATAGCAGAGGAGAACAGGGTCTTTTTAGGGTGAAGCACAACATGTGATCTGCAAGTGGGGAAGCATCCCAAGAGTCTGGTCTCACCTTGGACAAAGAAAAGCTGCCCCTCTGTTACCTGCCTTGTGCCCCAAGGATGAATGAGACTCAGCTGCCCACAGTGGAAACTTAGAGAATAGAAACCAGCCTCATTTTTTTCTACACATGTACACAGTTATATTTTGGCAAATCCTTACTTGTCTTTCCAGTAATACTGTCCCCAGTGTCCAGATATATCTTCAATGCCAGCCAGCAAATGATCCAAGAACTAAACAGAAAAGAGGATTTTGCTATACGCCAGTTGCATGTACTGCATATGCGATGAACTCAGTCAGCAAACATCAAAAGCCAGCAGACAAAACAGGAGATGCTTTCAGCTCGGTATACAGCACTGGTAAACAAGGAGAGGGGCTGTCGGGCTAATTCCCCATCCAGTCATCCACGTATATCCCTTTGCTCTGGAGTACAATAAGTGGTTTGGCTGCTTGCTTTCAGGTCTGTGTGAGCAAAGAATAATCACTGAGGGATGTGGATCTGCTCTTTATGATACATACAGGATGGTTGATGGCTTGCATGTCCTGCATATTGGGCCTTGATAAGCAGGAAATGCTCATACTGAGGTTTTTGAGGACAATGTGTCTCAGGAGATGGGTATCTTAAGAATAGAGATGTAGATAACATACAAATAATGCTTTGACTTGAATAATAAATACTGCCTTCCCCCAGACACTTCCCACTAAATGAAATAATTGGCCACATTGTGCCTTATACAAAAAGATTATTATTGTTTGAAATTATATTAAAAATTCCAGACAGGTTGATTTTTCCACCTAGAAGTTAAATCTCTATAATTTCCCAAATTGCTTTCTCTCCTACTGGCAGCTCCAACTGGGAGAGGGCTCTGCTCTGCTGTGGGTCAATGGCCCTCCACACTCAGGTACCAATGTCCCTGGAGCTTCCTCCAGCTCTGATATTTTTTGTGGGGTCAAAGACAAAAAAAATCAAAGCTGTTGACTCAGCCCTGCAGCCTGGTACGGGTTTAGTGACATTAGCTGTTAGCAGCCATATAGCCAGGGGACCAGCAAATGACCTCACACCCACTGGTCATCACTCTTGCGAGCAAGAATGTCCCAGCTATGCAGACAGAGAAATTAGAGGAAGAAAGCTGCTTCTGCATCCCTGCTTTCCAGCAGTCTGCATTGTTGCCTTCTCTACTTTACTTAATTGGTACACAGTCATTTTCAGCTCCCATTTCCTAATAAACATGTTTCCAGAGATGATTTACTATTCACACATTAACAAAAGAAGAAAGTATTCTCTGTTCATGATGGGAAAAGACTCTTCAGCCTATTGAACTGTTTTGTTAACCTCAGACAAAGCCCTGCAATACAACCTAATTGTGAGGATGCCAAACTGTTTTTATAAATGTCCTCAGACCTAATGTCTTTATTTCTAGCTATCCAAAAAGAAGATAAAAATATCCCTGAAGGAGCCATACCCTCAAAAATGTGTCTGGGCATAAACAATTAAGTTCAGAAACAGAATTTTACATTGCATGCAGCTGCAAATGCAAAGCCTCAGCTAAGTCTCCAGAGTACCCTGCTTCCTCATGGAGTTGACCCACTCTCTGAAGAAGTCCCCTATAACTAGGAAGGCCAACGTTCGGATGGTGAGAGCAGGGTGAACTAAATTCCACCTTAAAGCTCATCGAATTCCAACCCCCTGCCATGGGCAGGGACACCTTTCACTAGACCAGGTTGCTCAAAGCCCCGTCCAATGTGGCCTTGAACAATTCCAGGGAGGAGGCACTTCAGTGGCTCCCTCTGATATAATTCCAGGCTTTATCTTCCCTTTCTAATTTTTTTTTTTTATTTTTTTGCAGAAATAGCCAGACTGATGGCAGTGATGTGGCTGATGAACACGTGGAAGATCCCAACCCTGAAGTCAACCAAATTTCATTTTCTTTCTTTCACTTTCCGGAGAAGCAGAAATGTTTGAGTTCAGTTAGACTACAAACATTTGGGCAAGTGATCATCTTTGTCATGTTTGTGCAGCACCTAATGCAACATCAGCCTGAGCTGGTGGCTGTTATTCCGATGCAAATACTAACCCATGGTTAGGAAGCTGCATAAGACTTCATACTTGGGAAGAGACTGACCCGCAGAAGAATAAAATTGCACATCTGTAGGTCCCCGGAGGCACATGCATTTCAGGAGGACCATACTGCTATCAGCAAAGCATATTGGAAAGCTCTGGCTGCATTTTAACAGATGCACTCACCCGAATATGGATCTGCTCTCCCACTGTGGGAGCACTCTCTCTTTTCCTCTTGACAGCCAACAAGTCAACGAGAGGACGGATGGTCATTCCCTGCAGCATAACCACAAAGACAAAAATCAGCCTTTCTTCACATAAGTGTTCTTAGTGGTACCTGCACGGGAAAAAAAATATACCAGCACAGGCATGAGCCACAGCTACCTTGTTCCTTGCCAGAACAAGACCTGATACTTGAGCTAACACTTCTAATCCGCTCTGTTTTATTAGCAAGGTAAGATCTGCAAAGCTTCAACAAGACTAGAAACTGTTCTCCCAACCGTAAGCTAAACATTTTGTTTGCTTGTGGTAGTAGCCTGTCATTGGGAGCTCACACACAGGCTTCAAGATGGGGGTAGGCAGAGAGGGAAAATGCTCTACTCTCCTCATCTGGCATCTCAAAGACCACAAAAAGTCAACCAATAATTTCAAGGTCAAGCCCGTGGCTTGCTATTTCTTGTAGCCTACCAGATGGAAAGAGGCTTGAAACGTTCAAAGTTCGAATGCCTGAAACGATGATAGTCCTTGAGACTTCACAGCACGCAGCCTCCACCAGCATTTGTCTGCTAACTTTTTGAGTATTAAGTGTCACAGATCATTACCCCAATGATCCTTGATGGCCTGCCGGTGGCTAAATTTACTAATCAAAGTATCCACCTGGTGAGAAGGGTCAAGGGAAGAGTTTTAATGCCATTTAAGCCTCGTGAGAGAGCTTCTAAAATGCTGCTGTGCTACGTTTACTTAGTCTGGCTTCAGGATGAAATGAGTTTCTAGGACATGTTTACAGCAAAAATGATAGAGTAGTCGATGTTTATGACTTCTGAATGTCACAAATGCTGGCACGGAGGAGAGCTGAACACATTTTTAATTGCAGAAACAATTAATATGTCATTTTAATAGCTAATAGCAATAAAAAAAGCATCGCTATTCAGAGTAAATAACATAAAACTCACAAATTCAGAAATAACAGATATTACAAAAATTAAGTAGAGACTATGCAATTGGTCTCTTGCCTTCAATGGATAATCAGCTGCATTTGTTTTCATTTTAAAGTGGCCTTTTAGAGTTTTGTGACCAGGACTCCCAAACTTAAACACCTGAATTCCTTTGGCCCTTCGTGATCTTGGGAGCATCAGTGAAATTCCATGTGCCATTTCAGACCATGTGTTATTCACAACACACTTGTAGGTCCCCTGTGATGTTCCTCCACCCACCAGTGATAACTCATTTAAAGTGCATCACTTGATGCCAACATCTCTATAGTGGCTCACACAAAGTTTTTCTACCACCAGTAATCCAGTAGATAATGGGTCAGTGCAGGCAACAGACAACAAAAATACCCAAATCAAATGAAACAAACCCACACATGCACCAAGAAAAAAACCTCTTAGTTATTACATTTGCTAACAATTTCATGGAAGAGGTCAGAAGCCAATAGGCTGAGAGAGTGAACTTCAAACAGAGAACACAGTATTTCATTTTCAAACCATACTGAAAGGCAAAACAATGGCTTTTTGCAACATTCCAGACAAGCCTGCAGCTCCTTGGAGGACTTTCTGGGCTACATGGTGTATATCCAGGCCTGCTTGGAAGCGCTGAGGACTTGACAATTGCTCAGTCAAACTTCTCAAAATTATTAACCAGGCTCATTGTGAGATAAGACTTATGAAATTGAGTTAAAAAAAGCCAAAATAGGTTAGTTTTCTGGGTTGTCTAATGCACTGATAGACCCATGTATGGACAAGCCCAGCTGCCAAGATGCTGGTCATTAGTTCATGTAGCACGAGCCTTTACAGAGAGACTGTATTCCCAAGAAAATGAAGTCGGTTTGTGCACCAACAAGATGCTTTGGTGGCCTTCCCAGCTTAAACGGGCCCAGATCATTTCTCAACTAGTTTCGCTCCTATTTTAGCACAGACACCCCCTACCAAGTCTGTACTGATATCACTGAGAATATAAAGAAAACTTTCTGTACAAAATAACATGACAAAGTCCACTACCTACAGAAGCTGGCTTGTAGCCATTATTTCACTTGTCCTTTCCACCCAAAGTGACACAGCACTATCAAAGATGCTGGGAAATTAAAGATATTAATTCTTCAATAATGCATCCATTGATGTGGCTGGCAGCGATGCCACAGACTTCAGAAGCTGTAAGAATTATTTGTAAAGGTTCATCTTAATACGTTTAGAAATATGTTATATTTACCCGTTTTCTATGCTGAGCTACAGCATAGAAAAATTAGTATCTTTTCGGTTTCGGCTTAAGTTTATTTCCCCTCTCCCTGTTCTCGTGGTGGCCTCAGCTACACAATACTGCAGGTATCTGGAGCCTGAGCAAAGTCTGTCTTTATAGATGCTATGCGCCTGCTGAATGGCTGAAGGTCAAGGGGTCGCCCTGCTGACACATACCCACAGGGGACCCTGTTTAACTCTCACCCTTTCGCATGGAGATGACATCACCAGTTGAGCTTTGAGGTTACACAAAAGCCCTTTTCCCAGTCCTGGGAAGGATTTTCCGAAGCCTCAGCAGAATAGAGCTGCTGCCTTAGAACAACCTTTGTCTGAGACTCAAGAGCGTCTCTGCATGAGCGGACGTGCCTAGTGACCATGTCTTTTCAATTTCTGACCCACATTTGCATCTTAAAACTCGTCAACCTCCACCTAAGTACGTTCCCCCCACCCTTGGCCCCTGCTCCCTCCTTTCAGGCTGAAAGCTGTGCCCAGTCCAGCTGCCCTGCGGGTCTCAGCTCCGAGCCCATCGGCACGTCACACATGTTCACCATGTTTTCAGCTCATGATGTGGATGTGGGGAAGCAGAGAGCCAACCCCAATCCTTCACATTGCCCAAGTGCCCAACACCCACACCTGAGGGGCTCAGGGGGGCCAAGCAAAAGGAATTTGCTCTCGTGGGCTGATACTCAGCCATGGGGCCACTCAGCAGCTGTCACTGTGACCCACCAGCTCCCAAACCCTGGCAGCTGCTCTGCTTCCTCCATCCGAGGGCAGGAGGAGGGCAGCCCCGGGTCAGCAGCTCTACAT